GTGGCTTCGGATGCTGCGGCTCAGGGACGGAAGATGAGGCTGAGCAGGAGTGGGGTGATGTGTGACCCCCCCCGGGAGGGTTTGAGGGAGTCTGGGTGTCACCTTATGTGCCCAGGAGATGTGGACACCAAGTGGGAGAGCATGGGGGTGGTTTCAACGGCATTGGGGGGTCTTGGTGTCACCCCATTTACCTGGGAGCCAGGGAATCCCATGGGGAGGTGATAAGGGTGGTTTGGATGACTTTGAGGGGTCTCAGTGTCACCCTCCTACCTGGGAGCCAGGGACCCCAAGGGGGACGTGCTGGGGATGTCTGGATGGCACTGAAGGGTCTTGGTGTTCTTGGTGTCACCTCACCTGCCTGGGAGCTGAGGACACCAAGGGGAAGGTATTTGGGGTGGCTCAGATGACACTGGTGGGGTCTTGGTGTCACCTCACCTGCCCAAGAGTCAGAGACCCCAAGGTGAGGTGATGGGGAGTGGCTGGGACATGAGGACATGGTGATGGAAACCTGGGAACAGGGAAAAGTCCTGTCCCCATGTGCCAGTATGAGGGTCTGGGTGTCACCCAACCTGCCCAGGAGACAGAGACCCCCAGGGAGAGGTGATGGAGGTGTCTTGGATGGCACTGGGGGTCTTGGCATCACCTCACCTGCCCAGAAGTTAGGGACCCTCAGGGGGAGATGATGATGGTGTCTGGGGACATGGGGAGGGGTATCAGGGGTCCTGTCTCCACTCGCTCCACCTTCCTGCCCCAAGAGCTGTGGTGTCACCCAGACCTCAGGTGGCACTGCCCACCCCATGCAGTGACATGGGCACACCTTGTCCCCAGCATGGGGGGCTGGAGATGCCCACTGGGTGCAAACCCTCTGCCCCCAGCACTGGTCCCTGTGTCCCCTCTGGAGCACCCCAGGCACTCAGGTGTCCTGTGGAAGCACTGAGGACCAGGAGCAGGATGGGGGCATGGCTGGGTGGCCTGGGCATGGTCCAGCAGCTCTGTCCTTGCAGGTCGTGTGTTCAATGGCTCAGCGAAACCCATCGACAGTGGCCCCACAGTGATGGCCGAGGACTTCCTGGACATCAATGGTAACAGCTCTGGCCACCACGTGGCTTTGATGGCTCTGAGCAGCCATGGAGAATGTGGGAGGGTCTTGGGAATCCAACCAGACACAGGGAATGCAGGAGGGTCTTGGGCACAGCTTGGGGTTGGGGATCATGCCATGAGTGACCATATCCCTCCATTCCTTCCCTCCATCCCTTGCCTCCATCCTACCATCTATGAAGTGTTCCAGGCCAGGTTGGATGGGGCTTCGAACAACCTGGGCTGCTGGAAGTTGTCCCTGGGTGGGACTTGGTGGGCTTTAAGGTCCTTCCAACCCAAACCATTCCATGATCCCTCCTCTCTGGAGTTCCTCACTTCCCTGTCCTGCTCCAGGCCAACCCATCAACCCCCACGGCCGCATCTACCCTGAGGAGATGATCCAGACTGGGATCTCACCCATCGATGTCATGAACAGCATTGCCCGTGGCCAGAAGATCCCAATTTTCTCTGCTGCTGGACTCCCCCACAATGAGGTGTGTCCTCCCTCTTCTCCTCTGCTTTCCCACAGTGAGGTGTCTCCCTGGTGGGCACAGGAGGAGGAGGATGGATTTGGGGGGCTGCAGCCCATCTCCTGCATTTCCCCTGTTAAGAAGCTCCTGTTATCTCCTGCTTCAGTTTCCCCATGGGCACAGTGGTGGGTACAGAAAACCAGTGTGCTCAGAGCTGTGCTGGGACAGGGGAGAAGTGATCTGGGGTGCCCAAACTGGGGGTGAGGGGCTGCAGACCACCCATGGCCCCACCAGTGTGGCTGTGGTAGGAACAGAGCAGGATGGGCTAGATGTGCTCAAATGGAATGGAAATCAGCCCTGAGGGATCAGGAATGACCTCAGAGGGTGACCATGGGCATGGCACATGCCACAGTGAGATGGGGATACCCCTCTGCCCCCCCAGGCTATGGAGCTGGGTACCCAACATGGGCTGGGAAGCTACTGGGGATGTTGATGTCCATCCTGGGGTGATGGCTCTTCTTCACCTGCTCCATCCCCTGCCCACCTGCCATGGGGCCACATCCTGGTGCTGGGGGGGCAGCGGCCCCTCTTGGGGGGTCCCTGCTGCCCCCCAACCCTATCCCCCTGCAGATTGCAGCCCAGATCTGCCGCCAAGCTGGGCTGGTCAAGAAGTCCAAGGATGTGGTGGACTACCATGAGGACAACTTCGCCATCGTCTTCGCTGCCATGGGGGTGAGTTGGTGCAGGGTGGGACAGCCCAGGTGGCCCTGGCAAAGCCACCCCCCAGCACTGCCCTGTGCCCCTGATGTTCCCTGTGCCCCTGACTGGTGTTCCCTGGGCAGGTGAACATGGAGACAGCTCGGTTCTTCAAGTCGGACTTCGAGCAGAACGGCTCCATGGAGAACGTCTGTCTCTTCCTCAACCTGGCCAACGACCCCACGTCAGTCACAACAGGGCTCTGTGATGGGCTCCTCCTCCTCCTCTTCCTCTCTTTTCATTTCCTTTCTCCTCCTTCCTCCATTTTCCTTCTCTTTCTCCCTTCTCTTTCTCCTTCTCCTCCTCTTCCTCCTCTTTTCTTCTCCTTTTCCTTCTTTCTCCCTCCTCCTCCTCTTTTCTTCTCCTTTTCCTTCTCCTTTCTCCTATCTCCCTCCTTCTTTCTTCTCTTCTTTTTCTCCTATCTCCCTCCTTCTTTCTTCTTTTTCCTTCTTTCTCTCTTCCTTATTCTTATTCCTTCTGCCACCCTCTCCTTCCTCCTTCTTTTTCCTTCTTTCTCCCTCTTCCTTCTCCTCCTCCTCTTCCTCTTTCCCCTCCTCCTCCTTTCTGTTCTTTTTCCTTCTCCCTCCTTCTTTCTCCTTTTCCCTTCTTTCTCCTTCCTCCTCCTCCTTCTTTTCCTTCTTCTTCCTCCTTATTTCTCCTTTTCTCCTCCCATATTCCTCCATTTTCCTTGTCCTTCTCTCTTCTTCTCCTCCCCCTCCTTCTCCCTCTCTCTCTCCCCATGGACCTGCCCCATCCTAAGTGGCTCAGGGTTGGGAGGGCTGTGCCAGGTGTAGCTGGGGGGACCCCAAAACTGAGAGCCCCTCTACTCCCCGTGGGGGCCAATCCTGCCCTGAGCAGCACAGGGGGGACTGCAGACCTCCATCCTGCACAGTGCCGGGCTTCTCCTGGCACCCCTAAACCTGCTCTGTGGGGGCTGTTTGGCCTCTGGGAGTGCCACCATCCTGCACGGTGCTGGGCTCCTCCATGTGCCCTCGCTGCACCCCCAAATGTGCTGATGTTGCCCCACTGATGCCCCCAAACCTGCTATGTGAGGTCTGATTAGGCTCTGGGGGTGCCACCATCCTGCACAGTGCTGGGCTCCTCCTGGCACACCCAAACCTGCTCTGTGGAGGCTAATTGTACTCTAGCAGTGCCCACCATCCTGCACAGTGCTGGGTTCCTCCGTGTGCCCTCCTGGCACCCCCAAACTGCTGTATGAGGGCTTCTTGGGAGATGAAGGTGTCTCCACGGTGCTGGGCTCCTTCTGGCACCCCCAGACCTACTCTGTGGGGGCTAATGGGGCTCTGGGGTACCTACACGGTGCTGGGCTGTCCTGTGTGCCCCCCAGAGCAGCTGAGGGTGCCGCGGGGGTGCCCTCCGTGCCCGCAGGATCGAGCGGATCATCACCCCCCGCCTGGCGCTCACCACCGCGGAGTTCTTGGCGTACCAGTGCGAGAAGCACGTCCTGGTTATCCTGACCGATATGAGCTCCTATGCTGAGGCACTGCGAGAGGTCAGGGGGTTTCTTGCAGAGCACCCCGGAACCCTGGGGGTCCCTGAGGAGACAGGGGAGGAGTTTGAACTGTTGGGGGGACTCGAGGGGATCAGAGTGATTGGAGTGATTGGGGTGCCTAGGGATGCTTTGGGTGCTCAGGGTGCCTGGGGTACCTGGTGTGCTCAGGAAATCTGGGGGTGCATGAGGTGCTTGACTTACTTGGGCTGCTCAGGGTGCCCAGGAAACTTGGGGTACATGGGGTGCTGGGCGTACTTGGGATGCTCAGGGTGCCCAGGATGCATGGGGGACCTGGGGTGATTGAGCTGCCCAGGATGCCTGGGGTGCTGGTGGTACTTGGGGTGCTTTGGAGTACCCAGGGTGCCGAGGGAACCAGGGGTCCATGGGGAACCTGGGATGCTCGGGGTCCCCAGCACACACGGGGACCTTAGGGTGCTTGGAGTGCTTAGGGTGCCTGAGGCAGTCAGTGTGCCCGGGACACCTGGGGTTCCTGGGGCTTTTGTGGTACCTGGGGTGCTCGGGGTGCCCAGCACACCTG